CCTCTCTATTCATTGAATTAAGAGAGTAGAGCTTTATATCTATCCTAACTATTTTGAGTGTACAGATACAAGAGGATCGTTCATTTCTATCCCACCTTTTTGGTTAGTTTTCTCAGAGAAGGGCATTTCACAGCGTTCTTGGAGGCACTCCATAAATCTCCCTCCTCTCCCTGGCTCAGGCCACCCACAGGCACCACTCCCCGGGGTCCTCTAGCACGCTGTTGTCCCTGAAGCATCAGCCCTGTGTGACAAACACAAAGGAAGTCTTATTTCTAGCCCTGAGTAGGACAGTTTCCGGGAATGTTCTGTTCCCTCCTACCTTGGGGAGGTCGCAGAGGAGGCCTTGTGCACATGGGGCACAGTCTTGGAAGGATCTTCTTTGGCAGTTCTCACAGGACTGTTGGTCCCAGGTCCCTCCTGCTGTTAGTTCACCTCAAACCACTGCAGTTGGGGACTTTTTTTTTTTTTTTTTTTTTTTTTTTTTTGTCTTTTGGAGACAGGGTTTCACCATGCAGCTCGGGCTGGCCTTGAGCTCACTATGTTGCCCAAGCTGCTCTCAAACACATAGCAATCCTCCTGCCTCAGCCTCCCAAGTGCTGGGATTACAGGTGTGAGCCACCACACGGTTGCACTAATTACTATGTTCTCTAGTGGCCCATAATTCCAGTTTAGCAGCTTTGGGATAGTCAGAGTCTCCCACTTCTAACTTGGACTAAGGATTTACTGATGTCTGCCACATACATTTGATCTGTAGAAAAGCATTCCTGTTTGCACGGCCCTGTGCACATCAGCAGAGATGAGGATGAAGCAGTGCTTTGTAAATTAGAGACCGAGGCGATTTAATTGGGCCCCATTTACAAGCAGTGTCTTTTCACATCTTCACAGAGGCCTCCCAAAGGCCGCCCAGAGGAATCCGTTCCCACATCAATCATGGGGAAAACCACGGTGAACTTGGCTAAGCGATGGTAGCTTCTCTGAGGCTGTTTCCTCATGTGTAGGAGTGGCAGAGGATGGCCTGAATGTTGAACATAAGAACATCTAGGAAGCTCCAGACACACAGCCTGGGCACAACAGAAGCAGCGAGGCCACTTGTGGCTGTGGGTCAGCATCTGTGTTTAGGCCGGTTGTTTCCACTTGGAAATTTAAATTTCTTCATTAGGTCAGAAACAGCTCAAACTTGGTAACAGTGCAAACACAACAGCGCTCCCGGGGCAGCTCTGCACCGCAGAACCAAAGATAGAGTGGCCCTCAGGAACACATGGAGGGAATCGATGCACTGAAACTGATTTCTGAATAGTGATGTGACAAACAAGTATTGAGATCTCAGCTCACAGGGAGACCCTGAGCTCAGGTCATGGCCCATGAATGGGGCTGGGGGAGGGTAGATCACATTCATCCTTTGCCAATGAAGAGTTTTTAAAACCTACTTCATATCCTTCCTACTAACAGAGCCTGAGTTAGGTACGCTATATTCCCCTCTCCACATCACTTTATAATCCCAAAATACTCTTATTTCCCTGTCCCCCATCATTCAAATGTGACTATTTCTGAATATTTTATTAAATCAAGTCTGGTATGGGCTCATATTATCATATGTACATAAGAAGTTCCTTTGAAAAGATGCATCCAATGCTGTGGTTGTACCTTCAGTATTAAATCTACCTCTGTTGATTCATGTGATTTTTCTCTCATCTTCTGCTATTGTTGTAAACAACCAGTATATACATTTTTGAGCACCAGTAGGAATAGATCTGGAAAATACATTCCTAGAAGTGAAATTGCTTTGAAAAGAAGTTATCAAATTACACTCCAATGAGATTGTAAGAATTGATATGCCCACAAGATTTGAGAGTGCTTTTTCCCTAGACCATCATGAATGTAATATATTGAACATTTTGAACTTTGATAGGGGGCCAGGGAGATGGTTCAGTGAAATAAGTGCTTCCCTGGCAAGACAAGGGCCTGAGTTCAATCCCTGGTTCTGCCAAGAAAAAAAAAAAAAAAAAAAAAAGAACTTCGAGAATCCATTAGGCGATTATTTTCCATTTTAAGAATTTAATGAAGATGGTTGTGATAGTCATGGGTTGATAGAACTGCATGATCCAGAAAGAGAATAACAAAACAATTAAGTAATCAGATATATGACACTGTGTTTGGAGTAAGAATGGGATAAGGAAGAAAAAAGAAGAGGGAAAATCTAGCAGAGATGGAATGGAAGAAAAGGGAAGAGATGCTTCAGAAAGACCAAGGTCTGGGAAGCAGCTCATCTCCTCAGGTACAATTTCCAAGGCTGATGAGATAACCATAGAGAGATAACAGTAAATGGAAACACAGAACTGGAAAGAAGTTGAATCAGTACTAAGGACAGAAATGCGGAATGCTGGAAACTCATGCATGTGTGGAAAGGACACCTTTCAGGAGAAGGACAAAAGGCTTACTGCCCGAGCTTGGAAGGTACCAATCCTCACTGAATAAAAAGAGACAGGTGGGCAGGGAAGGGAGCTAGGGGGATAGCATCCGAGGATGAGAGTAGAACAAGGGACACATTGAATCCTGACCCCTGGAGGGCTGCGAGCCCATAAGGGGCTAGTCCCTGTTGTCCAGGGCAGGCATGAGGTCAAGACTCACCAGATGGACCCAGACTTCACCAGGAGACATTCATCAGAGACCCTGAGTAGTTGCACGGCAGTGGGCATGCTCAGGATTTCTTTGACTTCTGTTTACTTATTACTCCGGTTTGAAACTATTTATGCCAGGAGATATGTAAGGCTATAATCCTATCTAGAGTTTAGAGTTGCCTTGCCCAAAGATGAGGGACTTAACCTCCAAGCCTTTAGGTAAAGGGAATTCATAAGATTTCCCTCATTTTTATCCTGAGGATTGAAGGAGATGATGGAGGACAGATGCGTAGAGCGTGGCCCCTGACGGTGCTGTGCGAAAGCTGATAACCCGCCACTCCTGCATAGCCATTACTATCACACTGCATTGTTGAAGACACTGAGCCTTTGAGAAGCCATGTGACTTCCCCAAGTCAGACCACAAAAACATCAGTGCCCACAGTGCCATTTTTGAGAACTGACTCAGGCAACACTTGAAGTCCTCTAATATGTTACTTCATCTTCATAGCTGATACTAGTAGCAAACGCAGATAAAAGAATACTAATGAATATGTCACAAAATTATTCTGCTGCATCCTACAGAAAACTAGTATTTTCATGAAGTACTGTGCAGCATGAGAAGTAGGTGTCATTCATACGTGGGAACAGGATGTCAACCCTGCCAAGTCCAGGTCTGGGTATGTGCATCAGTTCACATTAGGTCACAGAGCTGCAAGGTCAGTGCACCTTAGTTGCCATCTGGGGCACATTTTGCTCTTGTGTCAACGCCACAGAGAAGGCTGTTTGTTGCCTGACAACTCGCAACTCGAGGGGTCGGAAGTTCATCCCAGGAAGTGTCTTGATTTTGGAAAACCCAGTGTTTTCTGTCTTTCCCTCATGTTCATCCACCCAAGTAAACTTGGGTTCTCTATGAAAATGAGCTGAACTCTGACACTGAACTGTGGGCAATGTCTTCTCTCCCCAGTCTTCCCACACTTGGTGAAGGAGATCAATGCCAGCCTTCATGTGACAATTTTGCTGCTCCTCTTCCTGGCCTTGGCACTGGCTCTGGTCAGCATGGGCTTTGCCATCCTCAACATGGTCCAGGTCCCTTATCGGGCAGTCAATGGCCCCGGGGGCATCTGCCTGTGGAACATCCTAGCAGGTAAGAAACTCCTGGGAGAGAAATTCTGTCCACACCATCAGCAGGCTAAATTCCAAATAGCTGAGCAGAAGGTGTAAAGGAACTAAAATGTCCCCCTTGACCTTGACTTCCCAAGATCTAAGATCTCCTTAGTGGGCTTCAATGTCCTCTTCACTAAAAGCTGAATGACCACATTGTTAGAGTGTATGAAAGGCTAGAGGCATAGTTCAGTGAAGACAGGTCCAGGCGATGGGGAAAACAGGAGACAGAGATGATGGCGTGGTGAGAGAGGTGAGGAGGTAGAGCTTCAACTACAGCTGCTAATGCAGGGAGGGCTCCACAAATGACAGAAGGGGAAGAGTACTGCAAGTGAGAAAGCTACCTGCAAAAGACCGATCCATGAGACTTCTCATAGAGAAGGGAGAAATAAAAGACTATTGAGCTGCCGGTGGCTCTGGGCCCCACACCCCACAACCCTATTAATCCAGATGTAGCCCATTGGCTGTCTGAACTTCTCGGCTCTCATTTCCCCAAACACATTCCCTATACAGTGCCCTAATCAGGATGGATGGTCTTTATTGAGCATCCCCCAAGTGCCAGGCATGGGCCCAGGGGGTTATATGATTTACTTCATTTTGACCTCCCAACTCCAATCAGGAGGTATTCATAGTCTCACGTTTGCAGATAGAGGAACTGAGGCTCAGAGAAGTTAGAAAGTCACACAGCAATGAGTAGTGGAGAAAACTTTCCAATTCTAGTATAACTGACTCTAAGCTCTTTGTCTTTGCATTGATCAGTGGTCTTATTTAGGACCATTATAACTGATTCTCCAAGTCAAAAATGTTTCCAACACAAAGTTGTGTGTGTGTGAATATGTTGTGATGTGGGAGTGTATTGATACACAAAATCACATTTAATTTTACATATAGCAAACATCTGCATGGAAAGTAGCAAAATCCCCCAAACAAGGGCTGTCTAAGAAAACCATGTCAAGTGGTCAAGACTCCATTATGGTGCTGTATCTTCCACTGATTCCACTGCCTGTGCTGTATATAAGGTGGCTATAAAAGTACAAAGGCAGCAATGTTATTTTGTCACAGTGAAATGTGATATTTAGAAATCAGTTATGTGCTTGTGCACAGGCGCTGGCCACCCCCATGACATCATCCATATGTGTGGCTTAGCTTGGTCTAGACGATAGGGGCCTTTGACATGGCTGGCACAGAGAAAGTGCTGATCAAGTGAAAACTTGTCTCCGCCCACCTCCTTTCTCAGAGAGATACAACTCTCAAATTCTACCGTTGTGCATATAAAAACAGGCCGTTAGACAGGAGCTTAGTGTCAACGACTAAAACTACGAACACCTTTGAGTGAGTAATTTCATGTGAGGATCTATGTTAAGCCCATGAGACAAGAGGATGCAGAAGTGAACACAATGGGGTTCATCACAGCAATTTATAATATTAAAAATTAAAAACCATCTAGACTTCCAGAAATAAGGTCACGCTTAAATAAATGATAATGTCACCAACATAAAATATTACACAGTCATTTAAAATTATGTGTTGCTTTTGCTGTTTTCCTCTGTCATGAACTGCTGCCCTCTGCCATGTGCCACTGTGCCTTGAAGCCAACCAAGTGTGGACTGAAACCTCCACAAGCTGTTAGCTAAATAAACCTTTCCTTCTCTAAAAAAATACATACATACATACATACATACATACATACATACATATAAAATTATGCTGACATAGGGCAGGCCAACTAGCTCAGCGGATTAAAGCACCTGCTTAGGCAGAGGCAGAGGCAGCAGTTCGATCCTCAGTGTGCCTTGCCGGCCCTGCCCCCAGGGTGTGTTGAGACTGCTATTGAGACTGGATGTGGCAGCACAGGCCTGTAATCCCAGCTCTTTGGGAGGCTGAACACAAGTGGATCACTACAAGTCCATTGTAGGTAGTGAGACCAGGTAGACCCCGTAGACCCTTACTGAAAAATACAATAAATAAATAAGCTGATTTAACTGGCAAAAATGTTCGAATGAAAGGAGAAAATTAAGGGCCAGCATCTATAGCTCAGCAGACTAAGCTTAGGTAAACTCAGGGGCCAGGGTTCAATCCGGCACACTGAGCCAGTGATGGAGTCCAGGGCTAGTGTAGCACACCTGTAATCCCAGCACTAGGGAGGCAGAAATCAGGAGGATCACTGCAAGTCTGAGCTGTATAGTGAGAACCTGCATACACACACACACAAAAAAAAAAAACCTTGAAAGGGGAAAATCAAACTTAAAATCAAAGTAAGAACACATAATACTAATTTTATTAAAGAGAAAAAAATGTAAAATATATGTACTGCACTAATGTGTTCAAACTGTTTATACCTGACTTTTAGGATAAAGGTAAATTTATATTTTCCATGATAATTGTCATCTCTCGTGTCCAGATTTTCCACAGTGAAGATGAAATGGTCTATAATATTGAAGATATTATACCACTTAATCCAGTAACAAAAGATAAAAAAGCCTAATGAATGTGTTTTGTAATATTAGCTTAAACCAAAATAGGAAGCAGAAGGGTATAGCAACAGACAAAGAGAGAAAACAATTTGTATGAAGATCAAAATTTCAAATAAGTGACAGAGAAATGAATGAGAGGTGGGATTCCAGACTTTCCCGTTCACTTCCCTTTCCTCCTGCGACCTTCCTCCTTCTTGATGTTTCCTAATCATGGAAACAACAGAGACAGGAAAGCAGCGGCGCAGCCCCTGGGTGTAATCCCACCTGCAAAGCAGTTTTCTTTTCTTTTTTTTTTTTTTTTGCGGAACCGGGGATTGAACTCAGGCCCTTGCACTTGCCAGGCGAGCACTTATTCTACTGAGCCATCTCCCCAGCCCCTGCAAAGCAGTTTTCTTGCCCACTCCCACCCAGCCCACACAGAGATCCTAAAACAGTTAGCAACTGACCTTCCCTAAATGCAGATCTCCTAGAGAGGATGGTGCCTTGGATACTTTCTTTGTTGCTGAGACACAATACCCAACACTCCCAGCTTAAAGGAAGACAGGTTTGCTTTGGTCCACAGTCTGCAGAGGTTTCAGTCCATGGTCAGCTGGCTCTGAGGCAGGGCAGCACAGCAGAGGGGCCTGGCAGGCTCATGGCAGGGCAGACAGAAGGAGAGAGGGATCAAGGGGCACGAGGGTTGCATATGCATGTGTACTCTTCTAGGCCACATGCATGGTGACGTCCTCTTCTCCCCAGGCTTCACCTCCCAGCGTCACACCCAGCTACAAGTTCACTAATGCACTAATCCAGTGATAAGCATCACATCCTCCTGATACAGCCACCGCCCCAAAGCCCCATCTATGAGCCCACAACGTTTGGTGAGACATCCAGACATATATCGTAGCAGATGGCACTAAAAGCAAATAAAGTCTGGAGAGATCAGGCCACCTTATATAAAGTTTATTTTCAGTCGTGTCCGTACAACTCTGCCCTTACACTACGGGCTACCTACTGCTTTTAAATGCAAACTAAGGGCTGGCCAAATAGCTCAGCGGATTAAAGTGCCTGCTTAGGCAGACTCAGGGAACTGGAGTTCGACCCCCAGGCCTGCCGAGCTGGCCTCACCCCTGGGGTGTGCTGAGACCGAGATTGAGACTGGCGTGGTGGCACACGCCTATAATCCCAGCATTTAGGAGGCTGTAAACAGGAGGATCTCTATGAGACCGACCTATGCAGTGAGACCCTGTACACCCTGTCCTAAAATACAAGAAAAAAAAAAAAAAGAAAGAAAGAAAGTAATTATTTGTGTTGCCTTGTAATTCTTTAAGCCCAAAGTGAACGCGCACAGCACAGAAATGTCACCTCGCGTAGAGTCCTTGCAGCTGCAGGAAGAAGCAGTGAGCGAAGGGCATCTCTTGGGTTTCAGGTGGAGCCGTGGCATTAGCCATCGCCAGCTTCATGGCCGCGGTGAAATTTCACGACCTGACAGATCGGATCGCCAACTTCCGGGAGCAGCTCTTCCAGTTCGTCGTGGTGGAGGAGCACTATGAAGAGTCCTTTTGGATCTGCGTGGCCAGTGCTTCGGCCCACGCAGCCAACCTGGTTGTGGTGGCGATCAGTCAGATTCCTCTCCCGGAGATCAAGGCCAAAATTGAAGAGGCCACGGTCACAGCCGAGGACATCCTGTACTGATCACCTCCTCAGGCCCATGCCCTGTCCTGAACCCGCTCTGTAGTGTAAATGGGAACCTCACTTCTTTGCAGCCTTCTTACTTTCTGTCCTTGCAGTAAGAAGAAGGGTGAAAAAGAAGGGTGTGGAAGGACCCAGAAGCTGGCTGGACTGGCGAGGACAAGCCTCCCCAGAGTCCCCAGCATAACTGCATCCTTCTCTCATGACCTTGAGGTTGGAGCTTCCTGTGTGTGACAGTGGACAATCACTTCATGTCTACTTGTTGGTTTTCCCTCTGTAAGACGGGGAGAAGTACAACTTGTGAGGTTTAAGTAAGTGATAATGTAGGAATGTTCTATAAGTATAAAGTATTCTCTAGTAGGTGTGATGGAAATACATGGCAAATGTTTAAATGTTTTAAAAATTATTTTAGTGGGCCAGGGAGATAGCTCAGTAGAATAAGCCCTTGGCTGGCAAGTGCAAGGCCATGAGTTCAATCCCCGGTTCCGAAAAAAAATACATATATATTTTAGTAAAAGACACATCATTAATTCCCCACGAAATACTTCCCCTTGTTCTCAACACACTCATCCATCATTCTTGCCACTTTCTGAAGCACTTTTGGAGTCCTCTTTCATGAGTGTGATGTTTGCTGAGGTGTGATTTTAAAAAACTACAAGAATGCTGCTGTTGAGTGGCACTCACTGAAAGAGAGACGTAACACATTACAGGGTGTCCTCATAGACCTCAGTCACCAGATTTGACCCCGCCAGACTTCAGAGCATTCCCCAAAGTTAAGATGACCACAAAAGATAAATGTTTTGTAATTGATTCAGGACATTTAGACAGCTGCATTGACGCAACTCAGGACACTATTTTTTTTTAAATGTATTTAGTACAGGGTCTACAGTCTCACTACACAGATTGGACTAGTAGTGATCCTTCCTGTTTTTCAGCCTCCCAAGAGCTGGACTTACAGGCGTGCGCCACCGCCTAGTCTCAGTGGCCATCTCAGGGTGTCCTGGGGGCGGGGTTGGCACAGCACTCCCGGGATCGAGCCCCAGCCCCTGTGTCTGCCTAAGCAGGCGCTTTAATCAGCTGAGCTATCTGGCCGGGCCTCAAAGATATTCTTGAAAGAGGACTTCTACAACTGCTTCCGAAAGTGACAAGAATGATGGAATAGTAGTATTAGAAGTATTTTGAGGGAGATTATGGCCATGTGTCTTTTACCATAATTTTTTAAAATTAGCATTCACTGCATTTGTTTATCGTGCCTCACACACTCCAATAAGTATCTATGGGCTGTTGGTCCATTCCAGGCAGTAGTGAGATGAAAAAGGAACATGGGACACCCTCATCTTTCCCTATGACACAGAATCAGATAGCAACCATAACCCTAAAAATGGAAACAGCTACCCTTTTAGGTAGCTATTATGTGCTGGATACTGTTCCAGGAATTTTACACAGGTTCACGTCTTGGCTCTTCACTGCAAATTCAGGTGGCTGGCACTATCTTAGCTCACTGGACAGATGACAAAACTAAGGTACAGGGACGCTGGGGTAACCGGCTGCGATCTGGAGCTAAATCTAGGAAGACGGGGAGCAGAAGATGTGCTTCAACCACTTTGCTGATCTGCTCGCTGATGTACGAGTAACTGCCGTGCAATGTGATACGGGTAAAACAGTGCAGGCATAAAGGACGAAGGAAGGAATTGAATCTTCAGGATGCGATGCAGGGTATTAAGGTGTCATGGAGCTAACATTTGATCTGAACTGTGAAAGATGAGTAGAGTTTTTCCAGTGGCACGGAGAGGGCATTCCAGGCTCAATCAGTAAGGAAGGAAGGAAGGAAGGAAGGAAGGAAGGAAGGAAGGAAGGAAGGAAGGAAGGAAGGAAGGAAGGCACAAGGTACAAAGTGCCAAGGAGGCACACAGGCATGTAAATTCTCAGAGTTGCTCTACTTGACTGTTGGAGAAACCCAGACATTTCATGTGTTGGTTTGTCCTAAATAGTGCTGTGATGCTTAATTTTATGTCAACTTGGCAGGGCCAGAGTAACCAGCTGACATTTTAGCCTTACTTTCCATAATCTGAGGGGGACCCATCCAATTCATTGGAAACCTTAATGGAAAAAAAAAAATGCCTTCTCTAGAAGGAGAGAAATGTCTTCTAGCAAACTGCCTTTGGACTTGAACTGTAACTCTCCCCTAGGGCTCCAGCCAGCTGGTCTACACTGCAAATATTACACTTGCCAGACTCCACAATGATGTGAGCCAATTCCTTGAAATTATGTACACTCTCTCTCATTCTCTCTCATTTTCCCCTTCCCTCCTGTCTCTTTCTATCTCCCACTTTCTTTCCCTCTTCTTCCCTCTCAGTCTCCCTCCCCATCTTCTCCTCTATTTCTTTCTCTCCTTGGTATCTTCAGTGAATTGGTTCCAGGGCCTTCCCCAAAGCCTAAGTCCATAGATGATCGCATCTCCTGCATAAAATGGTGTAGTGTTGGTGTGGGATCTATGTATACCATCTTCCCATATAGCTTAAATCCTCTCTCGATGACTTACAATACCTAAAACAATGTAATTGCTGTGTAAACAATTACTATGCTGCATTGTTTTAGAATCATGACAAGGAAAATAATCTGTCCATATTTAGTATACACACACACACACACACACACACACACATTATTGCCTAACTACCTTTTCTGTTCTTAGTTGGTTCTATCCATGAATGCAGAATCCAAGGCTCTACAGAGCTGACTGTACCCGTCTGCATGTGCAGACACACAGCTACCTCTGTCACTCCGGATAAGCCTGGCAAAGGCAGGCACACAGTTCTTTTCACCATTTTTCCATGATGCCATCTGGGATAAACTTTTCCCCAATCTCCTACTATCATGCCAAGCAAAAGCATCCACTTGCACCTAACATGCCACCTGAATGGGTGACTTCATGAAGTTTTCACACAGCCTCTCTGTTCTAAATGCTTATGGTCCCCTGCTGAGTCCATTTGTCCCTTCCAGACCTGTATTCACAAGCCAGGCATAGTATTATTTAAAGTCTAATAAAGGTGGCAATTGGCTATGAGACGGCAACAGGCTGCCATGCTAAATGAAAACAAGAAAATGTTAATATCAGGTCAAATTGAACACAAAGTCTTACCGGTGAGGTTTTCTTTAAAAGTCAACCTAAACACAGAAGAATCTGACAACAGTTTTTAAGATCAGTATCTGAGCATTTTGGTATGTTTATTCATTCAACAAGTATTGAAGTTAATTTTGGACTGTTGAGAAGAACAGATCCTGAAGTTTTATTGTCTGAGGAGCTGGGGGCGACTCATAAAGACAGCTTTGCAGAAGCTACTAGGAAGTCACCCTGGCTGCGGGTGGACTTTGATCACCACCTTCAGACACGTGCAGGTTGTTATATAGAAAGAAGACAGTGTGAACTGGTTTCGTTCCTAAGACTAGGACTGGGCTTAATCTTCAGCAAGGCTGATGTGTGCCAAGGAGCTCAATGCAGGCTTTGGTATGTCTGTGAGTTTCTAGTAATGGAATCCACAACTCTTGAACAAATTCAGCAGCTTCTACAATGCCTCCAAATTTGCAAATGTTCCTGGGGAGAACATTCACACAGCCATCCCTCAAGAGATTCCTAAATGAACTTTAGCAAAATGAGAGCGGAGAGATTAACTATGTGGGTCACAAATTATCTTGTGTTTATTATTCAGATGCACAGGGGAAAAATTGTACCTCTCTGAATTTTTCATGTAATTAATGTGGTGACTTCTTGAGTAAATAAATCTCAATAAATTCAGCCCAGCTTGATCATTTGTGCCATCCCCCAAACAGTGTTCAGCTGTTCTGGGATAAAGTGGCTACTCCCTGCCTTGCTTTTCTCCTGAAAATGGATCTAAGCTTATAGGACAGGGAAGTTCCCACTCCTGGTCCTGGGAAATACAGGCTCAATCTTTGATATCCCCCTCCCAGACTGCTCCCTATCCTGCGTGCTTTCTGGGGCAATCTGAGGTGGAGTGATCCATGGTATGTTCTCCCAAGACTGATCAGAGCTCAGTCACTACCTGGAAGACCTGTCGTCATCTTTGTCCATCACTGGCTACAGACGGCCAAGTGACCACCAGGTCACTCCTAGCTCACCTGTCCATTTGGTTCCACCCCAGACTCTGCTGCAGTCACCCCGCTGAACCCTGGTAGCCTAGGAAACACATCTGGTTCTTGCACAGCCTCCTGCCCCAGGGAGTGTAGAGGGACCTCTCCACTCCACCCTTACCTGGTAACTAAGGTGACTTGTTCCTATTATTTCTCCCCCAAATTCTAGACTAGAAAGGAGCCTTGATGCTAAGATAAAGTAATCCAAAAAAGACATAAATGGTGGTATGTGCCTGGAATCACCATACTCTGAGAGGCTGCAGCAGGTGGATTGCAAGTCTGAGTCAGCCTAAGCAACTTAGCAACTTAACAAGACCCTATCTGTTTCAAAATTTTAAAAATAAATAAAAGGGGCTGGGAATACAGCTCAGTGTGAAGGGCTTGTTTCAATCCCTAGAATCACAAAAAGCGGGGGGTGGAGGGGGGAGGAATGAGAAAGGAAGAAAGAGAAAAAAACGAAATTCCACTTCAAAATTAAATTTCTGATTTTCAAACTCACTAGAGTGGGCTGCAAGTATATAGTGAGTGTGAAGTAAAATCATGCACTCGGGGTACATAGAAATGGTTTGATTTTTCCCCCACATAGAAAAAGCCCACCACACTCACTGTCTGACTAACGCTTCATGACAGGCTCAATGGTGGCTGAAGGTCAGAAGAGGAAACATCAGTGTATCTGAGCCGAGGCCCTGTCCTTCCAAGTCCCACAAAGTCAGAGCTGTCTGTACCCCCACGAAGCAGCCACCATCTTGTGTGGGCCAGTGACAGAACATGCTTTCCCTAATTCTGATGGCAGGTATTCAAGAAAATGTTACTGTCCTTATTTTACAGATGGGCATTTTGGGATCTTAAGAAAGTAAATAATTCACTCAAGTAGTAAGTAATGGAAAAAGCATTCAGCCTCAATCTGGGTAATGTCAAGACCACCACTTTCCCACTGAAACATGATGGTGTTTCTTGAGTGACTTCTAACACTCAGTAGATGGCTTGCAGGTTACACCAGCCACGTAAAGGACAATATGGGGACAAGGCCTTTTCTGTTTCCTGTTTCCTGTTTGTCATGCCAATACCCTCAGGGACGCTTCCACCCAGTGGAGCAAGATGTCTAAGATCATCACACTGCCCTAACCCTTCCAGCCTACCAATCCATGCAAAATCAAAATGTTAATCATGGCATTATTTTATGATATTGGTTAGAATGTGATATCAGTGATAAATTTTATATGCT